CTTTGATTTGGTTTGTACTTAACTTGGGGAGTTAATGCCAGTTTGTTGGAAGCAGAAAAGAGAAAAGATGTAACATTCATTGTGCAGTTGGTTATGTGCCAGCCAACTGGCTGGATGCTTTATGTTATCTCTTGTAACCCACAGAGAGAGTTGCTGATTCAGGGTGGGGACCTATGACCATAGGACTGTAAAGTTCACCTGTGCTTTTAGAAGTGAAATGAATGGTATTAAAATAATACACACTCTTGACAATGAGCTTCTCTAATAATCAGCCCCAACACAGAGCTTAAGGTTATCAAAATGATAGCTTACAGCAAATGATTATTTCTAGAAGAACCAGTATCTCTTTCAGAGTATACCACATAAGAAACTTCATTTAAAGAGAAAAATTTAGCTGAGTTTTTAAATAGAAAGTTATCATTGTTTTGTAAGCAACTTTGCATGTTTTTGTAGCCCGTAAGGGTAGAGTAGGAACCAGGTCCAGAGCGGGAGCCCTTTTGGCGCGGCTGAAAACTTTCCTCAAGATTCTGCCCAGTCGTTCCCTCAGGGGAATGACTGTGCTCCATCGATTTCAGTTCATCACAGCAGGAGATAAGGCCTCAGAACAAGGGGCCCTCCATCCTGTGATCTCGAGCCAATGATTTTAGGAACAAACCAAGAAAATAGAACTTTGAAGGTAACAAAATTGGGGAAAGGTGTCAATATACAGGCTTTTAGAGTTAGTGAGATTTTGCTAGAATTTCATTATTTTTCCTGTTTGTGACCAAAATGATGGGAGCAGAGGCTTTGAGAGGAGGTAGGGAGCGGTGGATGATGCAACAGATCATGCTGCAGGAGCACTGCATTCCGCAGGGAAGATTGTGTTTATGTCTCAGAAATGCCATATTTTGAATAATGATAATAATAGAGGCACTGCCATATATATGGGGATTTAAATTTAATAAAGCTGTTTTGATGTAAGGATTTAGGAAGATACCCATCAAGCCTGAATTGTTAGACAAATCATTACCTTCTGGCCAGGGAAGCTAGATGGTCTGGACAGTGCAGCTCAGGGGAAGGGGCTGCAGAGGAAGGGGCAGAAGGGCAACTGGCCTTTGGTCAGCTGGAGGCAGAAGAACTCAGAGGTTCCAGCTCCAGCCTTGATCCTCACACTACGGGGCAGTGAGCAGAGCCAGGAGGAGATGCTGAGATGCATGGACAGTGAAGCTGGGCTACATACACCTCTGGAGCAGGCAGAACAACTGTCCTGTTCTCCTGGAACTAATACTATGCACTCAGAAATGGAATGTCTGAGATCATTAGGTCAACTGCCCCCATTTTACAGTGAGGACACTGAGGCACAGAGGTGTCAAGTGACATCTTAAGTGAGTACCAGAGCTGGGACCAAAACTCATGTCTCTTGAGCCCTGGCCCAGCGACTCTAATGGCTTTGACTGATGGGCAGCTCTGCAGATGGAGAGGCATTTAAGGCTGGCAGGGAAGAATTAGAGCTGGGCAGATGTGAGACAGTGGAGGGGCAGCTGGTGGGAAATGGAAAAGCTGCAAAGAGCCAAATATGCATTTCTGCTGGCCAGGCCCCGAGGACAAACATGACTCCCAAATGTTCCCTACCAGAGGTGTAAACAGCCACCCAGAAGAAGCACACAGTGGATTGACCAAAGGCCATGAAATGCCATTTATGTTTAATGACTAAGAACTCCTGTTTATTCAGACTCTTAATCCACCCCTTTAACCTTGCTCTTTCCTTTTACATTGAGACCTTCCCTGCCATTCCTCCCTTTTCACTTGGTTTCTGGCTGTCCTTGTATTCAGGGACAACTGCAGTTTACAATCTATCTGCCCATTCTCCCAGGTTCTAGGATAAAGGAAAATGAAGATGATGATGATGAACTTGGACAATGTGACTTGCCTAAAGTGTTTTGAAATTCTGAAAAGGGGCTATAGGGAAGAACAATGAGCAAATTCATGAGTCAACCTTCTATTTATCCCTCTATTGTGAGGAATAAATGCCTCTATTTCTTTTGTGAAGCATAATCATTTGTTAGTTTTAGTAAGACATTTCCCTGCCTGCTGATAAGGAAACATGAAAGCATTTATTGTGCTAATCTAGAATGTAAACCATAAGCTGTGGTCTTTTTTGTTTATTTGATTTTAGTTTTAATCTATGATCACAAGCTTAAGGGTTGAAGGGACCATGGAGGACTGCCAGCCACTCCACCCCATTCTGTGTGGGGAGCCCCTTCCCAGCACCCCACCAATGGTTCAGAGCCCTTCCCTCTAAGCCCCCACAGGGAGTTGCTTCTGCCTCTGTGGAAGCACTTACTTCATTTTGCTTTAAATTACAGTTATTGGAGAACTTGTCTTTAGTCTCAGCTGTGAGCCCCTGAGGGCAGGGGGTGGGTGGGCAGGAATCCTTCCTCATTCCTCTTTGATCTCCCACAGCCCCCAGCACAGAGCCTGGCCCACTCTCCATAAATATTTGAATGAGTGACAAGGTGTTAACAGTCTCCAGAGGCAGCCACAGTTGGACATCTCTAATAGCTAGAAAGTTCTTCCTAAAAGGAAGCAGAAATATGCCCCCCTGTGTTCCCTGGGAGGGAGGAGAATGTAAACAAGTGGTGATCACAAAGCTCTGGGTGTCCATAGGATATACCTGGGGATAGGCTAATGCCCTGTTCTTATTGCTCTTCTTACATCCTGTCTGGCCAAAGTATATAAGACCTTTTTCCAGGGTAGGAAAACGCAACAACCTAGATAGATCTGGATTATTTTGGGGAGTGGGAGGGTGGTTGTTAGATTCCAGGATTTGAATCCAGTTTGGGAGGACAGTTCTATCAGATGTCAGTGTCTCACCCATATCCCCTCTGCCTATCCTGGGGGTCATCTGCTGGTGATTCCCATACAAACTGACAGCTTCCTGTATTTCTCTGCCATGGTCACTGTGAAGTGTGTGTGGCTTGTGTGTGGGTCAGGCTGGAAATGCCAGGGACTTACCCAGGAGGGACCTTCAACCAGTGAGTGATGGAGCTTGGTGGATAAATTGCCCAGATTCCTCACCCCTCAGTGGGACAGCTCAGAGGTGTGTTTCATAGAGTCTCTCAAGAGGTCTTAGCAGGGATTGAGTCCTACTTGCTCATAGCACTAACCCACTAACGAACACATCCTTTATTCATTTCCCTCCTTCTCTTTGACTTCCTCTCTCCTTTACTATGCTTCTTGGGAACATGCCCAAATACACTCTCTGCCCCACATCCTGTCTCAAAGTCTGCTTTGCTGGAGAACCCAAACTAACGCAATGTCATGTGTGGGAAGTTTGGGGGATTCTCAATGTTCCTTCTGTGGAGGACAAAACTTAGAGTCCATGCACGCTTTACTCTTTCTCTTCTTTCCCTCTACTTCTAGGTGCAGAGTTGGTTTTTCTGTCAGTTCTGTAAAGTTTAATTTTAAGTAGAATTTGTGTCCTAACTCAGAAAAGGGCTGACAATGATTCCTAAATCTTTGAAGGATAGTTATCTCACATAACAAGAGTCAGAAATATTGTAGCTCTATTAAGGAAATGTACTGTGTCAGAAAGGTCTCAGGCCAGACTAAAAAAAGAGATGATGCTTGGGGGTCATTAGACATCAGGATAGATCTGTACTCAAGCACTTCACTTAACCTTCTAAATGTCCACAGAGACTGTTTAAATTAAGAGAGACCTTATCAGCCTGGCCCAGGTTTGGGATGGAGTACATGGAGGTCGGGGACAGCTAAGATGAATGGGACCATGAGGGAAGCGGGAGAAGAAAATAAAGAACCTTCATTAAATCTACCCAGTATTAATGAGCTACACCTGAGCTAAGAGAACCCAGAGATAATGCTGTAGCTAAAGAATATTTATAATCATTCGAGAAGATTTGTAACAAATAATGAAAGTGCGTGAGTAACCTGCCTCCCTAGTCCTCCTTCGGGCTGGCATTGTGTGATTCAGAAAAGCCACCTGTGGATGCCAAAATATTACTTGATTGTTTTGACATCTCAGACAATTAATAGGAGCTAACAGTTTAAAAGAATCATAATCACTACTGTTTTATATTTGTGAGGTTTTTCTTCATACTTGATCTTAGCCAAAAGGCCGAGAAGTGATTATTGGGGGAGGGTGAGTTCTTTTGTCTTATTTCTTCCTGGAGAGTTTTTTGCTTGCCTAGTAGGAAACAACACACATGTTCATGAGTTTTTAATTGGCAAGCAACTGTGGGAATGAATGTAAACAAAACACAAAAGATGAAAGGAGACAGTGGGGCCAGAAGAGCCCCCACAGATGCCTTTTGGGGCCAGGTGGAGAAATGTTTCTAAATCAGACAGGGATAAAAAAGGATTCCATAGGCTTTTTTTTTTTTTTTTTTTTAGCATGGATAAGTATGTAGCTTCACAGCTCTCTTTATTTAAACTCTGACTGGTGGCCAGCCTCTTTTGGCAGGGGCAGAGGGCTGGGAAGAAGAGAGGGATGTCTTTGCTAGGTGACAGGAAGATGTGGAATTACTGTGTCTTCTTTGCCCTCTTTGGTGAGTACCGCTGCCCTGTTGTAGGTGGCAATAATGCCCTGGGTACAGCTTTCTCTCCTGAGCAAGAGAGACATCTTTACCTCCTTCAGCTTGTGCCCTTGCTTCCAAAGGGTACTCTTGGAAGTGCTGTCCCCCTGGAATGACCTCATGAGATGGTTGTGAGGATTACATAAGATAATCCATGTAAAGTGATTCCATTGATAGTTGGCACAAAATCTATGCTGATTCCCCATAACAAAAGGTCTCAGTTATTGTCTCTGCTACCTGCCAAAATTTTACATCATAGAGAAAGACTTCCCTTGGACCAAAAACAGACATGCTAGTATGGCCTATACCAGCCTCTCTCAAAGTTTTTGTTTTGAGTAGCCCCCTTCCCCAAATATGCACCCCCTAAAAGTGCTCAATGGATGCCTTTTCAGTCTGCCCCACTAAGCACTCACTCTCCTTTGCTCCCAGAATGCCTACGTCAACATCAACCGCATCATGTCTGTGGCTTCCCGCCTTTCTGAGGCGGGCCATTACGCCTCACAGCAAATCAAGCAGATCTCCACCCAGCTGGACCAGGAGTGGAAGAGCTTCGCCGCTGCCCTGGACGAGCGCAGCACCATCCTCGCCATGTCTGCCGTGTTCCACCAGAAGGCCGAGCAGGTGAGGCGCAGGGACCTACAGCAGCTGCTGGTGGTGGGAAGGGGGCAGGGGGAAGGGTCAGGGAGGGCAGGGTGGGAGGGCACACACTCTCTCTACAGAGAGCCCCTGTCATCTCTCTGAAACACTGAAGACCCTGCTGAATAGTTGCAATAATAACCCATCTTCTACCATTTTCATGGCCCCTGTGTACACAAAGAAACACTGGTAAGACTTGGTGGCTTTGCTGACAGTAAGAGATGACTCAGGGCCTGTTTACATTCTGCTTGGTGGTTGGTGTTGGGTGCCTGTGCTTGCAAGAGTGTGTGTGTATATGTTGACTATCTGCTTAGTGTGCATTCTCTGAGCACAGACCAGAGGGGTGAATGTAAAGAAATCATTGAATGCTAAGGGGATGGAGAAACTAATTCGACATGAGGAATTTGCTATGGATAATAATCTGATAATATCATGAGTAAAAATAATAATTACTTGTTGCTATTTACTTATAAAGTAGCCAGACATTGGCCAGTGACATTAATAACCCATTTTACAGAGAGGAGCACTGAAGCTCTGTGAGATTAAGTGACCTGCCTAAGGTCCCATGATGTGTCAGAGCCAGGCTCGAACCAGCTTATGCAAAGCCAGTTGAATTTTCAAGAATTTTGTGAGCTGGTTGTTAAACATAGCAATTACTTAAATCTAAATTATATAAGTTTATAATGAATTATGTTATATTAAAAACAAAGTTAATAAATACTCAAAACTCACCACTTCCTGATTATTTTACTTTTTTGAGGTTATTTTTTATCTATTTTTTTCCTATCATGGAAATCCTGTACAGTTGTGTGCTACCAGTCATATCTTCCAAACTCCATATTCAGTGACATCACATTAGTAGCTTAAAATAAACCATTTTTATGCCATGGAATTATCAAAAACTACAAACTAGAGCTTGATTTATTATATTTTGGTTGTTTAGAGTCTTAAGAAAATGAGGGAGAAGTGTTTTTAAATTCAGACTAAAAAAATATATGTCCTGTCTGGAGCTGTTACACTGTGAGTAGCACACAGAAATCAAGAAAATGTTCTTCCAATATTCAAAAATGATTATTGAGCAAAGAAGTCACTCACATCATTGACGAACAAGTGATGTTCTGAAATAAGTCTTCAGGGGGTTTTGGCTTTTGTCTTACTCCTTAACTAAGTGAAAATGTCAACCAGCATTTGTGTCAGAACTCGACAAGTTTGTCCATTTCAACTATAGGTTGACTATGGATACAAAAGTTCAACAAAGGCACCCTGTGAGAATCAGTTCACTATATGAAATTTATAATAAAGAACATTGTATATGCTATTATTCTTTGTAAATTGAGTTGCATATCCTTTATATCAGTAAAATTTGTAGTGCACTAACCTGCATATATGTAATGTATACATACATATATACACATTCATATACACACATACATGTATATGCTAGTTGTTAAACATTTACTAAGATACCACTGCTAAAATCCTGCAATCTATGGGCAGCTGGGGTTTCAATCCAGGTGTGTCTAACGTTAAAGCCTGTGTTTTTAACCTCTCAACTTCTTTTTTGTATCACATTTAGGCAACTCACAGGTAAAGGAGAGTCAGACATGTGGTCATACCATAAATATTTCCCTGTGTTGTCGACTCTGACATGGAAGGCCACATGTGATAATCAAAAATGTCTAGACCAGGGGTCCTCAAACTTTTTAAACAGGGGGCCAGTTTACTGTCCCTCAGACCATTGGAGGGCTTGACTATAGTTTTAAAAAAACTATGAACAGATTCCTATGCACACTGCACATATCTTATTTTGAAATAAAAAAACAAATGGGCAAAAACACCTGTATGTGGCCCGTGGGCTGTAGTTTGAGGACGCCTGGTCTAGACTTTGAGGCCAACATGTGGGTTCTAGTCTCATCCCCACCATTCATTAACTCTAAGGCAAGTCACCTCACCATTCTGAGCTTGTTTCCTTGTCTCTAATGTGGGGCTGTTATAAGGTTATAACATTAGAGATGGAACATATAAGGTTCCTAGGGCACTTACTAAAACAGTGGATTTTACTACTGTGGGTATTTGCTCAACATCCTGGTATCTTTTTATTTCCATCACCGATATCTATTTCCAGCTGAGAACTTCACAAAGACTGAAAGAAATACTTCTGTCACAAGTCAAACACAACCCTACACTTTGAGAGGGATCTAGCCATGCTTTTGTTTTTTAAAGGATAATGGTTGTTGTGACTGATAGTGGCTGGTTCATTCTTAGGACCATGATAATATTGATGTCCAATTTCCTGTTCTCTCTCTTTCAACCCTATCACTTGCATTCTTTATTCAAGGTTTATCCACATTGACAAGGAAAATTCAGTACTTTCCTCTTTGTCTCTCTAGCTTCCTCTCTGAGCTGACCATTCTGTAGAATCTGCTACAGGACTCCTGAGAGGGTGCTCCCCCTGTGATATTTTTTTTTTTTAATTAAAAAAATTTTTTTGGAAACAAGGTTTCACTCTATTACCCAGGCTGTAGCACAGTGGCAGGATCATAGCTCACTGTAACCTCAAACTCCTGGGCTCAAGTGATCCACCTGCCTCAGCCTCCCAAGTATCTGGGACTACAGGTGCATGCCACCATGCCCAGCTAATTTTTAAATTTTTTTGAATTTAAAAATGGTGAGAAGGGGGTCTCACCATGTTGCCCCAGCTGGTCTCCAATTCCTGGCCTCAAGTGATCCTCCTGCCTTGGCTTCTCAAAGTGCTGGGATTACAGGTGTGAGCCATGATGCGGGCATCCCTTTCTTCCCCTGTGGTTGACTCCGAATATCAAGTTGCTTTCAGATTCCTTTGTAAAGTAGTTATTGGTGGAGCAAAGAAGCTTCTGAGATGTCAGCGTATATGTGTAACCTGATATTGGATGGAATCCAACACTCCTCCAGAATTGCTAGGAAATGGCCTAATGTGGTAAAAACATACAGAATGAAAACTCAGTCATTGCAGCCAACAGGCCAGGGGCTGACAGCTGACAGTGGCACCAAGACTAGAACTCAAGCAGAAAAAACTCAGGGCCAGAGCTGAGAGTAACTGGAGGAGCTAAGCTTTATGTCATGTTTCCTGACTTGGATTGGTTTGGATCAGAATAAATTTTATTTGTATCTGTTTTTTAATGTGATTTCCTGAGACATTACTAGTCCTTCAGGACTTACTCATAAACCATGCTTCTTTTTAACTGGGGGGAAAAAACTGATTCAAGCCTATTTTTTTATATGCGTTTATCTAGGCAGCCCTTTATTGTCCTCATATGGGCTATTCTCGGCAATGGGATGAAAAGGTATTTAGGCAATTAATTTAAATGGATCTGTGCACCCAGGCGAGAGGAATCACAGACAGAACCATTCCAGACTGTTGGGCGAAGAATTATTTGCATTTTAAAGGTGCATTTTTCCACCTAATAAATCTGAGTGATTTCAGTTAGCTCACCCTTTGTGCATGGAGAGCCACAGTCTTCTACAGTTGTTAATTTTAATTTTTAAATAATTTGATGTCTGTCAAGATCCATATTTATAAATCACATCCCATCCAGGAGACACTGCCACTGTAGGTTCAGCACAGTCTGTCCCCCTTGCTGCCTCTCTTGCTCCCCACTTCAGGGCGCTGACCCAGCAGTGAAAGTGCTATTGAGCTCAATCTCCATCCCCTGTGGGAAAGCTCTGTGCAAGTTTCCTGGGGGTTCTGGTGGTCCTGTGTGAGGTGTTCCTTGCTCCTCTTGCAACTCATCATGTACCCTGTAAAGCACAGGTGTGGGAACATCCTGCCGCATTACATGCACACTCACCCATGCCTGTGAGTGTGCGGGGGGCAAGAAGCCCTGATGTATCCATGGAACATAGTGAGCTGTGCCTGCACCTGTACTTAACAGTCGATATGTGGGTACAACCAGTTGCACATCCAGACAACTCATGCTGCCCCTCACAGTTTCATAATAGTCCTCTTTGTGGAAACTACACTTCCTAAACAGGTGCCCAGGTCTGATTTCTTACTAAGGGTTAGTGTTTGTAGAATTAAAGAAAAACTCTACCCCCTGAAGTGGTATTTGAAGGCTTCCAGAAGTCCCAATGTTTCTTCCCAAGGTATCTGACCCTCTTTCCATAACCCATTCTTTCCCCACCCCCAGTGCTCCCACACTGACCCACCTGGCATCTCCTTCCAGTTCCTTTCAGGAGTGGACGCCTGGTGCAAGATGTGCAGTGAGGGTGGCCTGCCGTCCGAGATGCAGGACCTGGAGCTGGCGATCCATCACCACCAGTCCTTGTATGAGCAAGTGACCCAGGCCTACACAGAGGTGAGAACCAAGCAGGGGCGCTAGGTGTGTCTGTACATGGGTGGGTGGCGAGAGCACTGGCCTACACCCTGTGAAATGGCCTGGGCCAGACTAAGAAGAGAGGCTCTTTTGCTCCACCTTTAGGAAAACTGACCTATGAACTGTGGTGTCTCTGGCCAGGAAACAGAAAAAGATTGGGGCCATTAGCAGGTACTACCTTTGTATACACACACATTCATATTCTCTCTCTCTCCTTCGCTCTTCCCCTTTCTTTTACACATACATATGTGTAGCTACACATCTATCTGCTTCACCCTGTATGTGAAGATTAGACTTTCTCCTCTAGGGAGAGGAATATAAGATAACAAAGCTGTCCTTTTCTGGAGTTTGCTTTCTGGTTGGTGAATGGACACACTAGTCCTGCCACCCTTTTATGGAGCAGCTCATCAAAAAATACTGATTTCTCACTAGAAGATCCAGAGGAAAGCATACAGGGTAGAGATAAGCATTTTAAGGAGTGAGAAGCTGCCATGGACGTGAAGGACAAATGAAAAGGCTCTTCCACTGAAAAATCAAAGGTGGGGGGAGGTAGTGCAAAGTTGAGAAGGGGAAAAATTCTCTTGACAGTCCTTTCAAAGTAAAAGGGAAGAGTCATATAGGCGTGTCTGTGTGACAAAGACAAGTAGGTGGCCTCTGGGCATGAGTTTTCAGGGAAAGGAGCTGAGGGATGGAAAGAGAGAGATTGATTAAGGAAGGTGGATGTGGAGGGAAAACTTAATTCACATCTGGGCGATGTGTTTCTTCTGGGGCAAGGTCAGTTAAAGGAGTGTTTGTAAAAGTGGGTTCCTGGACCACCTTCATCAGACTCACCTGAGGTGATGGCTAAAGATACAGATTCTTGTGTTCCACCCCATACTGAATCAGAATGTCAATATGTGTACATTTTAATAACTATTGCCCCAGGTGAGTTTGATGCATATTGAAATCTAAAAACCTATGGCTTCTGAGTAAGAGGAAGGGTTTTGCCACTGTCAAAACTGAGTTTGAATCCTGACTCTCCTACTTATTAGCTGTGTGACCTCAGTCAAGTTATTTAACCACTCTTAACCATTTCATTCTTCTGTGAAGCAAAGGTGGTAATACCTGCCTCATAGGATAGTATTATGGGTTATAAAGATAATATATGTAATGTACTTGGCCCAGCGCCTGACAGTAATAAGTACTAAAAAATTGTAACAGACTTTGTCATTGTAGGAGGCAGAGAGGAGGGCTTGTGAGCCAAACCTGATCTTGTCAACTCTGATCCAAATGGCCCAAGGCTTTCTCTCTTATAACAGAACTGTGCTTCTGCTCACAGGTCAAGAATCTCTAAATTTACTCCTTGTAAATTAAAAAAAGAGAGAGAGTACAAATGAGATTAATACTATGCTTACATGTTTCACACTTGTGAGGTGCAGGTGTAATTATACATACCAACACAATATTTCTCCCAGTGAATTCTCAGGCCCTAGCATTGTGAGACTTAAGATGTTCCCTCCAGGCCCACTTCAGAGGTCAGTGGGCCACCCCTGCCTCCTACAGATGTGAAGACTGAGGCAGAGGACTCATGTTGACTTGGATTTTTAGGACTTGGTCCTCCGTTCCTAACCACCCTTCCCTAGACATGGCATAGTGCCACAGGACAGCATTTGCTCAGGACTCCCTGAGGAGAACTCTCCTGGGTTTGACCATGGAATATTTGTCTTGTTAACATCTCTGGAGGGCATTGCTTCTACCCTTCCCCTCCCCCAGCAGTAAATTATGAGAGCTGGGATGGTGAGATTGGGTGGGTGGTGGTGGTTTCCTCTCCTGCCTCAGTGGTACCCTACCACAGCACTCCTCTTAAGCACCCCCCAACCCAAGAGGATTTCTGCACCCCAAGAGCAAGAGTACCAGGTGCCTCTGTGTTCCTAGACCCCTATCTGGGCTATGATGTGATGGAAGGAGGGATGAGGGCAGGTTGCAAGCCCAGCAGACAGTTCCTCATTCATCTTCTCCCGTGGGTATGGAAACACGCCTCCTTCCCTGCCTTCCTAGTAGGAAAAGACGACCATTTCTGCTTCAAATCAACTCTGATTTAGTTATTAAACAAGTAATTTGGAAACTTAAAATTCCCGTCAGTTGCCCAGCTACCACTGTTGTAAATTGGAAAGATGCAGGTCTGGGGGGTACCCTGCCAAGCACTGGAAGGCCACAGGTATCAACTATGTGATGCCACTGTCCAAAATTATTGGTGCCCAGGATGGTGCCAGGATTCCAGTGAGAGGAATGGGCAGGGAGGGTCACCCCACTGCTCTCAGACTGAGGGCAACTGTTAGGGAACCCAGAAGTATGGATGGTGTGTCCACAGTCTAAAGGTCTCTACCTTATTCTACATGTTCTAGAGAAATGTGAAGGCCATTGATTTTCAGGAGAAAGAAGGAGGTAGCATAGAGGGAGAGAAAAAGATTTTATAAAAGGATAAAGATAAAAGAAAATGACAAGGAAGTAAAGAAGACGGGAGAGAGAAATGATGATGGTGATGATGGTGAAATTGGTAGCCAGTACTATGTGGCAGGCCCTGTTCTAAGCACTCCATGTGTGTTAACTCATTTAATCCTCAACACAACTTTATGGAGTATGTACCATAATTATCCTTCTTTTACAGGCAAGGAAACCGAGGCCCAGAGAGGCTTAGTAATTTGCCTCTGGTCACACTTCTAGAAGTTTGGAGCCAGCTAGGAAACGTTAAGAAAGAAATAGTGGGAAAGGATAATGGCAGCAACTTAGATTTTTTATGAAATGAAGTTCTGCTGCCTGACCTAGTCAGTGAGTCCATCAAAGTGTTTATCAAGTGCTTACTATGTACCAGGTACTGTTCTGGGGAGAGAGCAGTGAGCAACGCAGAGTCTCTGCCCTCATGGAGCTGAAATTCAAGAGGGGAGAGAGTCTCACAGACAGCTGGCCAGTCTCCAGCAACAACTCTCCACAGGATTCCAGATGCTCTGCCCTCCCCGCAGCTGCAGGTGGGAGCTCTGGCCAGCTGGCACATTCCTCGGTGGTCATGGGTCTGGGAAGGACTGAGATTCTCAGGCCTAATTAGGGACCCGTGGGCAGACTCCCTGTCTCTCTGTGCCCTGCCTGCCACTCCTGTCCCTTGCCCTAACCTTCTTTCCTTCCTGCAGGTCAGCCAGGATGGCAAAGCCCTGCTAGATGTGCTGCAGCGTCCCCTCAGTCCTGGGAACTCTGAGTCCCTCACGGCCACAGCCAACTACTCCAAGGCAGTGCACCAGGTGCTGGACGTGGTGCATGAGGTGCTGCACCACCAGCGGCGCCTCGAGAGCATCTGGCAGCACCGCAAGGTGCGGCTCCACCAGCGGCTGCAGCTCTGCGTCTTCCAGCAGGATGTGCAGCAGGTAACAGGCTCCGTTCCCCTCACCTGTCCTCCACCCCAGGAAGCAGACTGAGTGGGTCCCTGACCTAGGGGACCAGGCCTGGGAAAGCCTGGATTGATAGAGGGAAGATGGCAATTTAGCCCTCAAGTACTCCTCAAAATTCCACCAATAAAACAAAACCTGAACTTGTTGATTGCATGCCTCTTGCCTAGGTGGCTTTGTAGACTGGGCCTTCTATCCCTGTGGTGGTGGAGAGGGAGGCTCAGTCTCAGGGATAGCAACTCCTTGTAGTCATGTGACAGCTGGAAGGTTATCCGAGCACTCTCGGGGGTGGATCCACCTATAGTGAACTCACTTCTCAATCGAGTGCAGGTGGCCTGCCAGAGAGGGGATAGGGTAGGGTACAGGGACTTTTAGAAGATTCCTTGGCAAGGCTGAACCTGGGAAACCAGATTTAAACTTAGGCTGTTGTTCACTAAATGCTCTATGATTAGAGGTTATTTCTGGCTTTATCTGTTTTGTTTTGTTTTGTTTGCATTATTATACTAGTCATGGCTTTTTCCCTTACCACAAATAATAAAGAAATGGTTCTGTTTCTGACCATAAAAGGACAACCTTGCCACAAATGCCATTTCAGATGAAGTAACCCATTCTTTTCCCCTTGCACTTTCTCAGTTTCTGTCTCCTTGAGGATTTTGGGAACTTTGCTTAGAGGACTAATATACTGGTGGTGGGGTGGGGAGAGCTTGCTGGGAGCTGGGGACTGCGACTGAGGCTTAGTGTCCTCACCCTTTTTCTCTGTGGGAGGCAGGGTGGGAACACTTGTGCTCAAACACCTGTTATCAGACTTTTCTGTGGCCACCACCTAATTTGAAGATTGTATATATATAAAATAACAATGTACTCTGCTTTAATTTTTCTGTGATATTGACCAGGTATAACCCCAAAGTGTAGTCAAATATGCACGGAAAGTTGAGAGCCAACTCTGCATGTGTTTGAGGTGTTGGTTCCCTTCACAGGTGTTACTGGGAGGGGCCCCTGGTGTTGGGTGCCTGAGGTAGCCCGGCAGGGGGGAGGGAGAGTGGGGCATCCTTGTCAAAGTCTGTGATACCCTCTGGCAGAGGGATAGCTGTGCAGTCATCCCAGGATAGATGGGCCTTCAGGCATATATCCCCTTCCCAGGCTGCCCTAACTCCCTTGCAGCACCCACTCCTGACTAGGGCATCGATTTAAGTTTTCTGAGGTGACATCTCAGCCCCAGGAGAGACGGGCACTGCTAATGTGCTGGCCCCAGCTTTGCAACCCTATGGGGCCTGCTGGGAATGATAAAGCAAAGGGATCACTTGCCCACTCCTGCCATCTGGAGCCTTCCAGATAAATATATCATCCCTGAGCATAGGCGAGCACTGAGGGCGTCTACGATTGAGACAGAGTGAGGCGCCAGCCTTGGAAGGCACAAAGAAGGGGCACTGCAGTTTCAGTGAAATCTCCGTGGCTCGCAGAGATGATCTGAGCCGTGTATTGCATAATATGTGTGGCATTCTCTTCACCCTCCTGCTATTTTTATGGCTGCTTTCCTAGGATGGGCTCTGGAGAGCCACACAGGGGCAACAGGGAGGGTGGGTGAAAGGCCTCCCCACGAGAAGGGTGGCATTCTGGACTCAGACTATTGGGTAACTGATGTTATCAGACTTCTGTGGCCGCCATGCCATCTGAAATAAAGCCAAGAAAAAGTATAATAAAACGACACCTGTGGCTATTCTATATCATGCTCATAAAAGCCTTTCTGTAATTAAGACCCTGTCAGTTTATCACATTGTTGGCTCTGTGTGAAAGCAAGCAGAAGATTGTGAGGTGCCTGTGATGGGGGCTTGGATGTTCCATAAGAACTGAATTTCCCGGGATGGTTAGTTCCATTGCCCTTTTCATGATATGTGAATATGACTTCTGGGAGCATGATTTCATTCACCCATTGTCACACCTGCTCACCCACTCTGTATCTGACACTGGTACAGAAGCGAAGAAAACTGAAAAAATGAGGGCTACCAAACCTGGTGATGGTTCTTAGTTGTTCACCTGATACCTAAACAACCACTAGTGCCTGACATGTCTGAGCTGTTCTTAGAAGGGTGCTGGACTTACATACTTGAAGGTTAGAGTGAAGGACTTGGTCTTTGGTCTTCTGACTCCCAACCATACATTAGCTTGTCCTAGTTTTCAGGATCAGGCTAGATAAGTAATTTCCCTGTCCCATGCTTTCACAGTTTATATATATATAATTTTGATAATATTTTCATCTTTATATTACATTATTTTAAAGTTGTGCATGCATGTTTCCTCTATTCCATTATCTTTTTGAGAGTAGAAACCATGGCCCTCTATCATGAGCCCAGCACTGCCCCAGGTAGTGGTACGATACCTGGTTAGAGTGGCACAAGATGTGCACATTTGACGATAGAACAGGTCTACCAGAGCATACTCGCCTGTGTGCAGAGCATTAGAGGGCAGGGCATTGATGCAGGGCATTGATGAAACAGTCAATTGATGCCCCGTGTGCAGGGCATTGATGAAACAGTCAATTGATGCCCCGTGTGCAGGGCATTGATGAAACAGTCAATTGATGCCCCATGTGCAGGGCATTGATGGAACAATCACAGGCAGAGCTGTGAGAAGTCAGAGTTAGTGTCTTGAAGGAGGAGAGAGACTATACTGAAATGTACAGTCTGGATCCAAGACTCCTAAGCACACTTGGGATCCAGAGATGTTTGCTTAGTAGCCTATGTGGGAAGCTTGGAGGAGCATGAGTGGCCATGGCAATGCAGAACCATGGATAAGAGCTGGGGAGTCAGACAGCCTGAGTGGAAGTCGTGTTCTGACATTTCTTGTCTGTGTGACCTTGAGCAAGTTGCTTCACCTCACAGTGCTTCAATGTCTTCACCTCTAAGACAGGAACAAGAAGAGTACCTGTCTCATCAGACTGAGTGAGATAGGAGTACAGTGCTTAGCACAGAGCTTGCCCAGCACATGATATTCCCTGTATTGTGGTCACAGCCTCTGTAAGTGGTGCTCGGGCGCCCCCTGGTGCTTGTGCTGTTGAGGACTCTGGCTGTTTCTTCTGTTTCGAATTCGGAAGATAGCAACTGCTTCGTGGGGCAGCTGAGTTCCATTGCATTTAACGATAAAAGCTCAGAGCTGCCAAGAACCTGAAAGAGCATCCAGTCCAACCTACTATATGACTTAGGAAATCAAGGCCCAGAGATGCAAAGTCACTTAGCTATAATCACACAGCTAGTTAATGGCAGTGCCAGGACCAGAAGCTAGGTCTTCTGACTCCTAGTTCAGATGTCCTACAGAAAAACCACACAAGAGATTAGCCAGGGAGACAAAGAATGAGAATGGAAAGAGAGACAGGAAGCAACGTGCATACCTGCATGGAGGAGGAAGACAGACAGACACACCTCCAACAAGGAGGAGAGGGAGAGACAGAATCATAAACAATGGGAAAAGACAAAGAAAGGGAAAGATTTGAAGACAAAGGGCAGAGATGCAGACATGGCTGCGGTGGGAAGAGAGAGAGGAGGAGGAAGATGGGAGGAGATGAGAAGGATGGGGGCTCCTGCTAGGGGAGGGAGACTAAGCCTGCCTCTGCCTGGCTGGCTTCTTGCCCATTGCCATTTCTGGGGGTGGTCTTTGCCCAAGTAGGAATACTTTGCCCTTTAAGGGCTCAAATCAGAGTAAAGCAGAGAGATGTAAACCAAAGATAGATGCAAGTAAAAAAGAGAGTCCATTTAGACATCTGCAGCCAGAGATGGCCTGACACATCATCTCTGTGGTCCCTTCCTCTTGGGTCCCAACAGGTGCACTCTTGGCATTTTCTTTCTTGCTAGGCTGGGAGATGATGGAAACAAGTCTTAAGGGTAAAACTGGAATTTGGATCCATTAAGCTGAAGAAAGACATGGAGAGGGCACTCCTACCTTACTCCTGCTAGTGGAGTAATTTTCAGCACTATTATTTTTCCAGCTCAGCGTTGAATGGTACTGAGCAACAGCTGAAAAAGCCCTCCATAACAACATTGTCATATCTCCACCTTCAGGCTTTTGTTCTCCCCTAACTCCTCTGGCTTCCCATATACATAAAAGGGCTAATTTCGAGCCCAGATAGATCTGACTTGTGGTGGAAAGAATAAGGAATAAATAGATTCTTGCTTTTTCTGGAAGATGCAAATTCCATTCTATTTTTTCTTAGCCAGAGCACTGTTTTTCGAGCACCCCCTGCAGGCTGTCTCGTTCTGCCATCCCTTGTTCTTCCTCGCCTTCCGTTTTTTGTTTTTTGCAAGAATAAATAGGGGCCATAGGGGGACACCTTCTGTGTCACCCTGATGGACATGATGGAGGCTGGAATGGAAGCAGGCAGGCCGAACTATACAGAGATTCGAGAAGGAGAGAGAAGCAGCGAGAAGCTGCTTCTAGGTGGATCTCTTTTTTCTTCTACTAGGAGTTCTTGCTTACCATGAGGCTTACATAAAACATCTTTTACTTATAACAGGTTATTTTAAGCTCATAGCAACTTAACTTTGACCACATCTAGAAACTCTACACTGTTATTCCTGCCTCTAGTGTATGTTTTTAATGTTACACTTTGTACCTTTTTAACTTGTATGTCCCTTAAGAAATTATTGTAACTATAGTTATTTTTAACCGTTTTGTCTTTTAACCTTTATACTAAAGATATAAGTGATTTTCATACCACCATTACAGTATCAGGGTCTGGATTTGACTACAGTAGTCTCCCCTTATCCATGATTTCCGTTCCCAAGTTTCAGTTATGCACATATGAGATCTGAAAATATTACTTGGGAAAATAAACAGAAATAAACATCCTGTAAGTTTAAAAAAAAAAAAGAATAAATGTATAAAGTATTTGGAACTGCATGCAAGGCCCTGTGCTAGGAGTTTGTAGCCTCTGCCCTCAAGAGTAGACACATACACATACGAATATATTAATGGCATAGGGCTGTCTA